TTGATTTTAAAGTAAACATGAAACAAGAGAGCGAACACGGCGCCTTAAGAGAAACAGGAACAAGCAGTCTCCAGTAATCACGTCCTTTTAGGGGCTTCGGCATCCGCGCTGAGGGGCTTTTGGCCACGAGGCTGAAGTTGGTTCCTTATTCCCAGTTCCTTATCCATTCCTTATTCTCGTCTTATTCATGAGTCCGTCCAAAAACAACTGAGGAGAGACTGAAAGCTCTGAACCCCAGAATTAAGATTTGGACCCCCTAACTTCATACACCCCCAAGTTCAGCGGGCTCTCCCCTTCGAGGCGGCATATGCTGTGTCCTGGTCCCAAGCGCGGTTCTTGTACCAGCTGCTCCAAAGTGAGGCGCCCCCAGGACAATCACACAGGCAGACGCTGGGGCCAAGCTGTTCCCCAAAAGGTGTGAATAAGGAACTGGGAATAAGGAACCAACTTCAGCCTCGTCTTTTGGCCCTTGTTCTGGGCTTCGGACTCCTCCAGCTGGGAAACATGGACCCGAAGGGCACAGCCGGGAAACGAATGCCCTGCTCTTGCAGGGGAGAGAGCCACCCTCCTGCCCTGTCCCCTACATGTGCCCACCCTGCTCCTAAGATTGCCAGCCATTCTGGAATGGCTGTAATAGGCTAAGAAGAACTACTTTTCTCCCTTTCTCACAATACAAGAACTCCTTGTGGGCACTCCATGAAATTGCTGAGCAGTCGGGTTAGAACGGATAAAAGGAAGTCCTTCTTCACCCAAAGAGTGATTAACACTTGGAATTCACTGCCACAGGAAGTGGTGGTGGCTACAAGCATGGACGGCTTCAAAAGGGAATTAGAAAAGCATATGGAGCAGAGGTCCATCAGTGGCTATTAGCCACAAGGTATGGATAGGGACTCTGGGGCAAGTGACGCTCTGTCATCTTGGTGCTTGGGGGGGGTCAACAGTGGGAGGGCTTCTAATGTCCTGGCCCCACTGGTGGACCTCCTGATGGCACCTGGTATTTTTGGCCACTGTGTGACACAGAGTGTTGGACTGGAGGGGCCTTTGGCTTGATCCAACATTGGCTTCTCTTATGTTCTTAAGTGGTGGTGCGTTGTGACCAGGAACAGGGCGTTCTCGGTGGCGGCTCCTATCTGGTGGAACAAGCTCCCAGGGGAGATCAGGGCTCTGCGGGACCTAGCACAGTTCCGCAGAGCCTGTAAGATGGAGCTCTTCCGCCAGGCGTTCGAATAAGAGCCGCCACCGCCATGGTACCACCAACGCCATGGCACCATCAACGCATTAGAATCTGGGTACAGGGTAATCTGGAGGTTGAGCACTTGAATGAGATTTTTAAGAGACGGCCATCTTGGGTTTTATGAGAAGAGTACTGAATATATTTTTCTATGAGTATAACTGGTTTTAATATTTTATTGTATGTATTGTTTTATGCTATGACTTGGCAGTGTGCCCTGTAAGCCGCCCTGAGCCTACGGGGAGGGCGGGATAGAAATACAAATAATAAATAATAATAATAATACAAGCATGGACAGCTTCAAAAGGGAATTAGATAAGCATATGGAACAGAGGTCCATCGGTGGCTATTAGCCACAAGGTATAGATAGGGGCTCTGGGGCAAGGGATGCTCTGTCATCTTGGTGCTTGGGGGGGTGGCAACAGTGGGAGGTCTTCTAGTGTCCTGGCCAATTGACACATGGAATTCACTGCCACAGGAGGTGGTGGCGGCTACAAGCATGGATGGCTTCAAAAGCCCAGGTTGGGGGCCCGATCCGGCAGGAAAGCCTCCTACACAAAATCCTCTTGATATGTGCAAAAGCATTTTCCAGTGGTTAGGTGAAATGTGTCAGGGCCTAGCCCCACAACCGTTGTTCCCTCTAAGCTGAGTTCGTGTGAGCTAGCTCAGAGTTTTTTAGCCTCCAGCACACAGATTTTTGTCTTAGCTCAGGAAGGAGGGCTCCAGAGCAAACGAATTGATGCAGTAACCAAATTGCTCGCTCACAACTTCAACGCCAGTTGCTTACCAAGTAGAATTTTTGCTCACAAGACTCCACAGCTTAGAGGGAGCATTGCTCACAACTTCAGTTTTTTTTTGAGGGGGGGGGTGTTTCCCAGCTGTTGGTCTGGACTTCGTCACCTGAAGGACAAAGGGCACCTCTGGCTCCTGGAATGAACAGCGCTGGTGGAAAGTGAAAGACCAGGATGTTGTTGTTGTTGTTGTTGTTTTAAAAAAATACTTCCCTAATTTAGTGCATTGTCATCCTGTCTTTCCTCCAAGGAACACAGAGGGCCATTGAGGGTTCTCCTCTCTTTTATCCACACCACAGCCCTGTGAGGTAGGATAAGTTCTGGGTGCAGCCCTGAGAGCACTAGTTGGTGCCTGCGGCTGCCCCCTGTACTTCTTCTTCACCCGTTCATGAGGATACCTAGAAGCTCCAGGTGGCCCCGGCTGAGGTTCTTCTGGAGGAAGGCCAGTTCTCCTCAACTGCCTCCCATGTGTAAAAAGCAGTTTCAGAGGGAAGCTGCCTTGGTCCGCAGCAGAAGAGCTAGATTTGAATCCAGTAGCCCCTCAGAGGCCAACAAGATGTTTTGGGGGTATGAGCGTTCAGGAGTCTTATGTAAGAACATAAAGAGAAGCCAGTGTTGGACCAGGCCAATGGCCCATCCAGTCCAACACTCTGTGTCACACAGTGGCCAAAGATACCAGGTGCCACCAGAAAAAAGGAGGAGGAGGAGGAGGAGATTGGATTTATTCCCCTCGCCCTTCAGTCGGAGCGGCTTACAAACTCCTTTCCCTTCCCCTCCCAACAACAGACACCCTGTGGCTCTTTCAAGAACTGCCTTTTCAAGGACAGCTCTTGTCAGAACGATGGCTTGCCCAAGGTCATCCAGCAGCTGCGAGTGGAGGAGTGGGGAATCAAACCCGGTTCTCCCAGATTAGAGTCCGCACACTTAGCACCGAGAAGACAGAGCATTGCTGCCCCAGACAGTGTTTGTATAGAAATATTGATTTCTACAAGTCTCATGCCTTCTCCTGTGATGACATTCTATGTCTCTGTTTCCTGTGCAGGCCAAATGGTCCTGGACAGACCAGATGGCCTGAACAACCTCAATAGCCATGCCATATCACCACATATTCTTTCACACCTCTAAGTGGAAGAGCTAGACTTCAAGGCGCCTGCTTTAAGGCTACATGGGCCATGTCACGTACATCATGGAGAAGCTGGAAGTTGGGTCACCTGACTGCAGGAGGAGTTCCCAAACTTCTAGCCTATCCCCACACGTAGCCATGACAACCAACAATTGGGCACACCCATGCCCACTCACAGTTGGCTAATAGCCACAGCTAATTTGTGACTGGAATTGGGCTATAATTGTTTAATCCCAATGAGAGAGAGTCTCTTCTCTTGCTCTCTGCTCCTGTTCTCTCTGCTTGTTTTATTGCACCTGAAATGCAGCCCTTGAGGGACAAAGGACTGGCTTTGTGAATTGGACCATATGGTTGAGCAAAGATGGATTTTGCCTTCAAAATCCCTTGGACTGTTTGGATATTCCTGAACTTGGTAAATCTGTATCTTTTACTGTGTAGTTAAGGCAAATAGCCTTAGGCTTGTTATTTTGGTAAACTCTGGTAGTCTGTGTTAAGCTCTGTACTGAATAAATCATTATTCTTGTTTCTAAATGGTCTCTGATGTTGTACCTGAATTCCAAGTCTAAACTCCTGTGCCTAAGCTGACCACAAGCTACCATTAAGCGTAAAGTGTACAGCTCTGAGTGAGTTGCTAATGTGATAAGTTCCAGATACCAACTGAGAGTTTGAACCTCTAATCTCAGGTTGGGGGGAACTTCTGTAGAGGTTCTGGTGGCACATGGTTCTGAAACCAGAGAGGGTATAGACCATCTCATGGTTTGTTGTTTAATGTACTGGAAATGTACAGGGCTCCCTCCCATTCCTGGACTGGCCTGGGTGGATAAATCCTGTACAGTGTTCCATCTATACCTTTTGACTAATAACCACTGGTTGACCTCTGCTCCGTATGTTTCTCCAATCCTCTCTTGAAGCTGTCTATGCTTGTAGCCGCCACTCCTTCCTACAGCAGTGAATTCCACTCGTTGGGTGAAGAAATACTTCCTTTGATCTATTCTAAGCCTACTGCTCACTAATGTCACGGAGTGCCCACAAGTTCATACCTCATGAAGGGGCCATTGACTCTCATAACCTTATACCCCCCAAAAAAACTTGTTGGTTTTTAAGGTGCTCCTGGACTTGAATCTAGGTGGAAAAAGCAGGTGTGGCAGATGTTCCCTCTAAGCTGTGGAGTCTTGTGAGCAAAGATTCTACCTCGTGAGCTCCTGGCACTAAAGTTGTGAGCGAGCGATTCGGCCACTGCCTAAATTAATTTACTCTGGAGCCATCCTTCCTGAGTGGAGACAACAATGTGTGAGCCGGAGGCTAAAAAACTGTGAGCAAACTCACACTCACTCGGCTTAGCGGGAACACTTTTGACCTCATCTCACCTGGGCTATTGTCTTTAGGACCCTCTGTGGCTTCCATCAGCAATTTGGGGCTTATGGATTGGCCTGCCTTGGGAGGGTTACTGCAGTGGCGTGAGAAGCTGTTTAGAAGACTTGGAATCTGCCATTCACATGCGAAGTGTCAGTACAAGGAACTGGACCCTGCGAGCGCAGAGGAACAATTTCTCTTCCCCTTAAACCATTTTTGTCACCACCCCCACCTCCACGCACACTTCTGCCTCTTGAAAATCCTTTCCTGGTGCTGTTTTCATAGCTTGACGCTGCTGCCTCCCTAAATCTCTTCCCTCCCTCCCCATAAATTCCCTTTTCCTTCCCAGCTCCGTGTCTGCCTTTGAAGACTGCATTAAAGGCCAAGGTGTGAATTAGTCGGATGGAGTTTCTCGCCCCCTTTTCCCTTCTTCTCCGAGCTGAACTAATGGGTTCTTCCCTCTCTCTTCCCCCTCCCTCCTCTTCCCCTCTATTCCTGACAGCTAAAAGCATCTCCACAGGAAGAAGCCGGGAAGGACGCGACGAAAATAAGCGTGAGTTTTTCTGTAATGACTTCTTGGGAAGATTTTAAATCAAGGGCACAGCTGCAGCTTTCTTCTGCCGTGGTCGGGAGCTTTGCAAAGCTGATGAGAGGGAAAGTGCCAGGCGAGGCGCTTTGGAAGTTCTGAGCCAGAACTTCTTGCTTTCCTGGGGCGAGAGTCGCATCAAGGGAACTTGGGCCTGCACTTTTCTGGGGGCTGGGAGTCCAGGGAGGGGTTTGTGCTGTGGTCAGGCCTCACCTGGAGTCCTGCGTCCAGTTTTGGGCACCACATTTTAGGAAGGATGTTGACAAGCTCGAGCGTGTCCAGAAGAGGGCAACCAGGATGGCGAGAGGGTTGGAGTCCAAGGAAAGGCTGAAAGAGTTGGGTCTGTTTAGCCTGGGAAAGAGAAGGCCTAGAGAGGACAGGGTTGCAGTCTTCAAGTATGTGAAGGACTGTCATGTAGAAGATGGAGCAGATCTATTCTCTCTTGCTCCGCATTGCAAGACTACATCGAATGGGTGGGAATTACAAGGGAATCCTTACCGGCTAAATATCAGGAGAGACTTCCCAACTGTCAGAGTGGTTGAGCAGTGGGACAGTCTGCCTCGGGAGGTGGTGGATGCTCCTTCGCTGGTCGTTTTCAAGCGGAGGCTGGGCGACCCTCTTTCGGGTATGTTGTAGGGCTCTCTTTCAGCTATGCTTCTGCAGAGGGCAGGGGGTTGGACTAGATGACCCGCAAGGTCCCTTCCAACTCTAACATTCTAGGATTCTAGGATTCTGAGTAGATGGGGAAGCCAAAATGACCCCGGAGGAAACCAAGAGGGGGGATTATTAGGAAGGGGACTGAAAATGAATCTGCCGGTAACATCATGCCCCTGTATAGGTCTATGGTGCGGCCTCTCATTTTGAATACTGTGTACAGTTCCGGTCACCACACTTCAAGGATATTCTAGCATTGGGAAAGGTGCAGAAAAGAGCAGCTAAAATGATGAAGGGGGTGGAACACTTTCCCTCTCTTCAGAGAGGTTACAGTGGTTAGGGCTCTTTAGCTCGGAGAAACGACGGCTGAAGGGTGACATGATCGAGGTTTATAAGATTATGCCTGGGATAGAGCAGGTTGAGAAAGAAGTCCTTTTCTCCCTTTCTCACAATACAAGAACTCATAGGTAGGGTTGCCAAGTCCTTACTGCATGTAGAGCAGGGACTCCAGCGCTGCACCCAGAAGTGACGCAACCACATCGAGCACGCCAGGGGCGGGGCCGCAATCATCCGAGGGAAAACCATAGAGTTTTCCCTTGGATGACTGCGGCCCCACCCACAACGCGCCCGACACGATTGCGTCACTTCCGGGTGACGTGCTGACGCTGGGCACGTCACGTGCTTTTGGGGTGGGGTTCCCCCCAGGGCCTGATCTGCCGGCGGCGGTTAACGGGCCTCTCGGGCGGGGGTCTCCCCCCCCCGCCGGGGACTTGGCAAGCCTACTCGTGGGCACTCCGTGAAATTGCTGAGTGGTTAGGTTAGAACGGATAAAAGGAAGTCCTTCTTCACCCAAAGAGTGATGAACACATGAAATTCACGGCCACAGGAGGTGGTGGCGGCCACCAGCATGGACGGCTTCAAAAGGGAATTGGATAAACGTATGGAGCAGAGGTCCATCAGTGGGCTATTAGCCACAAGGTCTAGATGGAACACTCTGTCCAGGGCTGTATCACACAGTGGTCAAAGCCCAGGAGCCATCAGGAGGTCCACCAGCGGGGCCAGAAGACCTCCCCCTGTCCCCCCCCCCCGCAAGCACCGAGAAACACAGAGCATCACTGGCCCAGACAGTGGCAGAGCATCCCTCCATAGCTTTGGCATCAGTGCCATACGGGTGCTGCCAGGAGGAGAGGGACCCAGAGGTGTGTGGCAGAACTGGGGCAGATCTAGTAGGTGGCCCAGGCTGGACTGGGAAGGTAGACAGCCAGAACCAGACAAGCGGGTTCTGACACAGACCCAGGCCTGACTTGGAAACGATTATAGTCAGGCGAAGCTCCAGAGAATACAAAATAGCTACTTCTCTCTTCTTTCTGTAGCCCTCAGTTGCTTAAGGAGGGGCCGTGGCTCAGTGGCAGAGCCTCTGCCTGGCATGTAGAAGGTCCCAGGTTCAATCCCCGGCAGCACCTCCAGTTAAAAGGGCCAGGCAGGAGGTGATGGGAAAGACCTCTGCCTGAGACCCTGGACAGCTATGGGAAGGGGCTGTGGCTCAGTGGAAGAGCCTCTGCCTGGCATGTAGAAGGTCCCAGGTTCAATCCCCGGCAGCACCTCCAGTTAAAAGGGCCAGGCAGGAGGTGATGGGAAAGACCTCAGCCTGAGATCCTGGGGAGCTGCCGCCATTTAGAGGTGACACCACTGACCTTGACAGGGAAAACAGGTCAGGAAGTGCCACCCCATCCCCCATTTTAGTGCTGGCTGCTGCTGACGCTGGGGAGCTGTTGAGACCAGGGGCCTGAACAGAGACTGCAGCTTCTCATATGTGAGCCGTCGTCCACCACTGCTGTGTCTGCACGTATGATGCGTTTTGCAAAAGAAAAGATGGCGGAGCTGCAGCTCTGTGGTAGAGCCACTGCTTGGCATGCAGAAGGTCCCAGGTTCAACCCCCGGCATCTCCAGCTAAAAGGACTCGGAAACAGGTGATGTGGCTGAGTAGAAAAAACTGACCTTGGCAGACTGACGGTCTGACACAGCAGAAGGCAACGTCAGGTGTTCGGGTCTACTGGTGTTTGGGAGGGTCCATGGCTCAGTGGCAGAGCCTCTGCCTGGCATGCAGAAGGTCCCAGGTTCAATCTCCGGCAGCACCTCCAGTTAAAAGGACCAGGCAGGAGGGGATGGGAAAGACCTCCGCCTGAGACCCTGGAGAGCTATGGGAAGGGGCTGTGGCTCAGTGGCAGAGCCTCTGCCTGGCATGCAGAAGGTCCCAGGTTCAATCTCCGGCAGCACCTCCAGTTAAAAGGACCAGGCAGGAGGGGATGGGAAAGACCTCCGCCTGAGACCCTGGAGAGCTATGGGAAGGGGCTGTGGCTCAGTGGCAGAGCCTCTGCCTGGCATGCAGAAGGTCCCAGGTTCAATCTCCGGCAGCACCTCCAGTTAAAAGGACCAGGCAGGAGGGGATGGGAAAGACCTCCGCCTGAGACCCTGGAGAGCTATGGGAAGGGGCTGTGGCTCAGTGGCAGAGCCTCTGCCTGGCATGCAGAAGGTCCCAGGTTCAATCTCCGGCAGCACCTCCAGTTAAAAGGACCAGGCAGGAGGGGATGGGAAAGACCTCCGCCTGAGACCCTGGAGAGCTATGGGAAGGGGCTGTGGCTCAGTGGCAGAGCCTCTGCTTGGCATGCAGAAGGTTCCAGGTTCAGTCCCCGGAACCTCCAGTTGAAAGGACCAGGCAGGAGGTTTTCTGTCATCTTCTGAGGATGGAACAGGGATCACTGCTGGTGTGGAGGGGGAGGTATTTGTGAATTGCCTGCATTGTGCAGGGGGTGGGACTACCCTGGAGGTCCCTTCCAACTCTATGATTCTAGGAGAAGTGAAAGACCTCAGCCCGAGACCCTGAATAGCCACGGACTTTGATGGACTGGTGGTCTGATTCAGTAGACGTTAGCTTCATGTGTGTTCCTTGCAGCTCTTTTAAAGCCGGCCTGCTCGTCAGTCAGCGGGCCTATTGGGTTTCTTGGGCGGCATCCCAGAATGCTTTGCTCCAGACGTGTGCCATGGCGGCTTTCCTTGGGTTTAAGTGGAAGCTCCCCCCTCCCTTTGATCCTCATTCCTTTTCTTTCTGAAAGGAGAGCTGGAAACGGAGGCTTCTCGCGGAGGAGGCTGCGGCTTCCATTTAAGTTTTGCTCCCTGCTTGACAAGTCTGCATTTATAACGGCGGGAACTCCGGTGGCAGCTGCTGCGGGGGTTTTAAATGCCCTGGAGGGCAGCATGGGGGACCTGGATCCATGGCTATTTTTTACCTGCTGCCACCCATTGATAAATCCCTTGCCAGCGCAAGGACAGGGTGAGAAATAAATCGTCTGGGCCAAGGTCTTCTGCTTTCCCTCTGACATCCAGTTACGCTGACGGATGGGCCTGTCTCCGGTCAGGAAACCCTCCGTAAAACTCTCCTCCTGAGGGGCTCTGGCCTGGGCACACACCAGCGGTCCTGCTGCCCCACCTGCCCAAGGTCTCTTTGCTAGGGTTGCCAGGTCCGGCCGGAGAAATTCCTGGAGATTTGGGGGGGTGGAGCCTGGGGGAGGCAAGGCAGAGGAGAGACCTCAGCAGGGTCGAATGCCATAAAGGTCGAACCTGCATTTGCATTTTTAAATCAGTTTCGTGCTGCTGTGACGCCATCTTTCTCTATGGTTGCTTGAACGTTGTTTGGAGAAGATACATTTGAAGCAGCGCGGAGGCGCAATGACAGTGGAGCCGCCACAAGAGGGCGATAAACATATGCAGACATGCAAAAGTATGCTAGCACTGTTGAGGTGTGAAAACGAAACCAAATGACAACAGCTTTTTTGAAGACAGAGTCAGAAGGCTGGGACACCAGTGGGAAAGACAAATGCAGATTCCACCAAAGTCTACCTTTCAAACCAGCTGTTTTCTCCAGGGGAACTGAATCCTGAAAGAGTAAGGATTCAAAATGATCTAGATAGGCTGGAGCAGTGGGCGGAGACAAATAAAATGAATTTCAGTAGAGAGAAGTGCAAAGTCCTACACTTAGGTACAAAGAAACCAAAGGTACAGATATAGAATGGGAGGAACTTGGCTTGACAGCAGCACCTGTGAAAGGGATCTAGGTGTTCTGGTTGATCACAAGCTAAACATGAGCCTGCAGTACGATGTGGCTGTGAAGAAAGCTAATACAATCTTAGGATGCGTTAACAGAAGCATTGTGTCCAGATCACGGGAGGTGGTCGTTCCACTCTCTTCTGCTATGGTCCGGCCTCACCTGGAGTCCTGTGTCCAGTTTTGGGCACCACATTTTAGGAAGGATGTTG